CATTCCCTTTGTCTCATCTACTGAACTTCTATTCAACCCCCACCCCTTATTATGGGATACCCTTCTATGTATCAGTAAAAACATTTGACCTTTGTTTTTTGGGGGGGATTGGCTTATTTCACTTAGCATGGTGCTCTCCAGATCCATCCACTTACTGGCCAATGTCACAAAGTCATTCTTCTTAATAATTGAGTAATAGTTGATTGTGTATATATGCCATATTTTCTTTATCCATTCATTTCTTGAAGAACACTGAGGTTGGCTCTATGGCTTAGCTCTTGTGAATTGTGCTGCTAGAACTACTGATGTGGCTGCATTACTGTAGCATGCTGATTTAAAATCCTTTGGATATATACTGAGGAGTGGGATAACTGGGTCAAATGGTGATTCCATTCCTAGTTTTTGAGGAATCTCCATACTGCTTTCCAGAATGGTTGCACCAATTTGTAGTCCCACCAATGTATGAGTACCCTTTTCCCCACATTCTCACCAACATTTACTGTTGCTTTCATTCTTAATAATTTCCATTCTGGAGTAAGAAGAAGTCTCAGTTTTAATTTCATTTCTCTAATTGCTAGAAATGTTGAACATTTTTTCATATATTTGTTGACCATTCATATTTCTTCTTTTGAGAAGGGTCTGTTTAGTTCCTTTGCCCATTTACTGATTTGGGTTATTATTATTATTATTATTATTATTATTATTATTATTATTATAGTATGGTGTAAGTTTTTGTATATCCTGGAATTAACTCCCCATCTGAGAGGCAGGTGGCAAAGATTCTTTCCCATTCTGTAGGTTCTCTTTTCATGCTCTTGTTTGTTTACTTTGTTGTGAAGAAGCTTTTTATTTTGATGCTATCCCATTATTTATTTTTTATTTTATTTCTTAAACTTTAGGACTTTTTTTTTTAAGGAAGTCAGTTCCTCCAGCCTATAAGTTGGAGTGTTAAGCTTACATTTTCCTCTAGTATGTGCAGGATTTTTGCTCTAGTTCCTAGGATTTTGATCCACTTGAGTTGATTTTTTTGCAAGGTAAGAGATGGGGGTTAAATTTCGTTCTATTATATAGGTATTTCCAGCTTTCTCAGCACCATGTGTTGAAGAGGCAACCTTTTCTCCAAAATATGTTCTTGGCACCTTTGTCTAGTATGAGGTAACTGTATCTATATGGGTTTGTGTCTGTGTCTTCTATTCTGTTCCATTGGTCTTCTTTCCTGTTTTAGTGCCAATACCCTGCTGTTTTTGTTACTATAGGTCTGTAGCATAATTTAAGGTCTGGAACTGTGTTGCTACCTGCTTTGCTTTTCTCATTAAGGATTGCGTTGGCTATTCTGAGCCTCTTATTTTCCCAAATGAATTTCATGACTGCTTTTGTTATTTCTATAAAGAATATTGGAATTTTGATGGAAATTGCATTGAATCTGTTTAGCACTTTTGGTGGTATGACCATTTTGACAATATTATGTCTGCCTATCCAATAATCTGAGAGGTCTTTCCATCTTCTAAGGTCTTCCTCAATTTCTTTCATTAGTGTTCTATAGTTTTTATTGTAGAGGTCCTTCACCTCTTTTGTTAGGTTGATTTCCAAGTCCCCCCCTCCCCAGGCTATTGGGAATGGGATGTTTTTTCCTAATTTCTCTCCCAGCTGATTCATCATTGGAATATAGGAATGCAATTGATTTCTGGGAATCTACTTTGATATGAATATAACTGTTCCAACTTTCTTTAGAGTTGGTGTACTATACCTTTTTCTATCCTTTTACTTTTAGCTTGTCTATTATGTTTAAATAAAATTATTATTATAGAAAGCATTTAACTAGTTCTTCCTTTACAAATGGAATCTGAAAATCTCTGCTTTTTAATTAGTACATATGGATCATTTATACTAAAAGTAACTCTTGATGTGATTAGGTTTTAATCCTATCTTATTGATATTTATTTTATATTTGTCATATTTATGTTGTTTGTTACCTTTTTGTCTCATGTGTATTGACTGTGGTTAGGTTTCCATTTTAAAATATTCTTTTAGCATCTTTAATTAATTAAATTATTCTTTTAGCATCTTTAAAAAATTATAGTACTCCAGTTACAGTATAAGAGCATCATCAAGTATTTTATTTATTTTTTACTCTCCCCTCTTGTCCTTATATGACTTTTATTTATGTTATAAACTTCATACAACATTGTTCTTATTTTTGCTTTAAACATCTAATTATCTTTTAAATAGTTTTTAAAAATTAAACAAAAATGTACTATTTTATTCATCTACATATTTATTATTCCCATTCTCTTTATTCCTTCATGTAGATATAGAATAATTATTTTTGTTCCATTTGAAAAACTTATTAAAATATTTCTTGTGGTGTTGATCTGCAGGTTATTAATTTACTCCTTTCTTGGATATGTAACAAAGTCTTTATGTCATATTTGTTTTATGCAATGCAACTTTTCTGAATAGAGAATTCTAGTTGATAGCTTTCTTTCAATAATGTGTAGATGTCATTCCACCATCTTATTTCTTACATTGTTCCTAATGAGAAATCTGTTATATTCTTAGCTTTGTTATTTGGTGTTGTTTTGGTCTCAGCGTGCTTTTTAGACTTTGTCTTTACATTGCTTTAAGAAATTTGTCTATAATGATTCTTTGGATGGTTTATTTCAAGATTTCTTTTTTTCAAGATTCATTGAACTTCTTGGGCCCATGTCTTTGTAGTTTTCTCCAAATTTAGAAAAAAAATTCAGCTATTACTTGTTCAACATTCTTTTCTGTTCTCCTCTCTTTCCCTTTCTGAGATTTGAATTTTTGTACATTAAATCTGTTGATGGTATCACAAAGCTGCAGTAATCCTTTGTTAATTTTTCCTTCATTATTCTTCATAATTAATTTTATTATGAATAGTGTTTATTTCTATGACTTCAAGTTATTTTTATTCCCTGTTTAATTTGCTATTATTTCTATCAAGAAAAAATTTAAGCATTACATTTTTAAAATAATAATTTTATTACAGTTTTAAATTTACTAAAAAAAAAAATAAGACAGAAAATTATCACTCACCTTTCACCCAATTTCCCTTTTCATCAGCATCTTACCCTATTATGGTACAATTAAGGGCCAATATTATTACATTTCAATTAAATGAAATTCATACTTTATTTTCATATTAGATTTTGTATACTTGTCCTTTCTTCTCTAGTTTCCATCCTAGCTACTGTATTAGATTTAATCTTCCTGTCTTCTTATGTTCTTCTTGATAGTGAAAATTTTTCAGATTTTCCATGGTCCTCACAGTTTTGAGGAGCACTGGTCAGCTAACCCTCTATTGTGATTGGTTTAATGTTTTTCTTATTATTATTCTGTTATTTGTTTTGAGGAAGAAGACATGTATTTTTTCTACCTAGAAGCTTCATTTGTATCTTTTTCTTTCACCCATATTTCTCATTATGTTCATGCCTTCTTAATAAAAGAAGATATTTCTTGTATAGTACATATATGAAGTATATGGGGCATGGGGGTAGGAGGTATAGTAGAATGAATCAGAAATTATTACCCTATGTACATGAAAGGTGTGATTCTACATTATGTATACCAGAAGAATTAGAATTTATACTCCATTTAGTTATGATGTATCAAAGTGCATTTTACTATCATGTATAACTAATTAGAACCAAAACATCCTTATCCATTAATTATATTATCTGTTTTATTTATGTACATGCTTTTATTGATTGACTTTTATCTTAATATTAGGTCATACTTTTCTTGCTTCTTTTCATATCTGATAATTTTTGTATGTATGCTAGAAATTGTAAAGTTTACATAATTGATTAAAATTATTTTATTCCTTTAAAAATTTGAGAGCTTTTTTCTTGGATATATTCAAGTAGTTTGAAGAAAGTCTGATCATTTTTTGTTTCTTTAGGGCTTTTAAGATTTGTGGAGTAATTGGCCCCTCTTCAATACAATCAGTACCCTTCTCAGGACCCCCCTACTCAATGCAGCATGTGTTAAGAGGTTTTCTTCATTGACTGTTGGAAAAATGAACTATTTCTAACACTGCAAGAGATCTAAAAATTTTCCTACATCTTTATCTTGTGTTTCTGTTCTTGGCTTGGGTAGTTTCCTCAAATATATGCATTACTCAATACTCTCATGAAGTCCCAATGGCAATTCTTGGAAATTTCCAGAGAAATATCTCTGGGGATTTATTTCCTCCTCCCTTTTTCTCTGTAGTGTGCATTCCATCCTCAGTCTTTCTGATCTCCAAACTCTATTCCTTCAACTATGAGTTCTATTTGGCTTCTCCTTTCCTGTGCAATAAGTTGAGCTGCTCTCATTGGTTTTCCTTCTTTCAGGAATCACCATTCTATAATTCTTGATGTCCAATGTCTGAAAACATTGCTTCATATATTTTGCTCTTTTTTTGTGATGATTATAATTCTTTATGATTCATAATGGCTAGAAGGAGAAATTTCATGCTTTGTTTTTCTATGACCAAGAAAACCCTTTGATCTTAATAAAAGCAAACATTCTTTAACCTGGTTGTCAAGTGACTGAAATTGATTAGGTCACATATAAAACTTGTAATCTTAAGACAGATCTCTGTGTTTGGCATCCTAGTAGAAAAATGAGAGCATAAAAATTTGTCTTAGCTTCCTAAAATACCATAGACTGTGTGACAATAGTCTTTAAAAACATACATTTGTCTTTCACAGTTTGGGACTGAAAAATACAAGATCAAAATTTGAACAGATTTAGTTCTTGGTGAGGACCCTCTTCTTGGTTTTTAGATGGCCCCTACCTTCTTGCTGTATATGCCCTCTTATGACAAAAGAGGAAGTGTCTCCTCTTTTTGAAAAGATACCAATTCTACCTTAATGATCTCATCTAAATTCCATTACCTTTCAGAGGGCTCACCTCCTAGTATCATCCCATTGGAAGTCAAGAATTTATAATTAGGAATGGTACAAATATTTAGTCTATAACAAAAATCAACTTACTTTATTTCATCTTGGTAACCCAAGTTTGGGTGGTTAAGCAATGTTTCCAGCAGGCTCAAGGTCAGGTATAATCCATGCTTCCCACATATAGCCCTGACCTAGAAATAAGAAAAGATTTAAAGTTTTACTAGGATGAAACTAATGATTGAATTTCCTTTCCATAATTAATGCCTACATGATTTTAATGGTGAATTAATACCCAGGAGTGCATTCTATTGGATATCATTGAGGACAAGAATATCTAGTTGAATGCTTATAATCAATAAATTTTTATTTAATTGACACAGAATTTATAATTTAGAAGTTGTATTAACTTTGTATAGACACTAGATGCTCAATAAGTATTTTTTGATTGAATAGAGTGTCATAGTGGTTCACAAGGATGTAATATGTTCTAGGTTCAGCTAAGAAACCAATTCAGATATCCAGTTGGTGGGTGAATGATGCTTAAATTATTCCATATTTTCATGGATATGATAGCATATGTTGTGTGTTTATAATAATCATTTAAAATAGACTTTGGAATCCAAGAGATCTTATTTTGTACACCAGATCAGCTGCCTGTGCCATGGGAAGTTACTTAATCTTTCTGTGTCCAATTACTTCATCTACTAAATAGGATACTTTTAATTTCCATGGATTCTGTGAAGGTTACATGAGAATGTGAATAGTTAGAATGGCACTTGGTTTTTAGTAGGCATTTGAATTTTATTTGAAATAAAGAAAAGAAGGAAGGGAGCGGAGTGGAAGGACAGGGAGATAGGTGAATGAGGAGGGGAGAAGAGAAATACAGAAATGGGAGAGCAAAGAGACATGGAGAGAAGGGAGAAAGAGATGTGGGGTGGGGTGGGGGGAGAAAGAGGGAGAAAGGAAGAAAAAGAGGAAGGAAAGTAGTAAGAAAAAATTTCCTAATTCAATTTTTGTACTAAATAGTAGCTAGTAACCAAAGTAAATCATCCAAACTAAACTATTGGTAGCTACTGTTATTATTTTGAAAGGAAGTTCAGTACAATGAGTATAGTAAGTATATCTTCTAATTTTTTTTTTTTGCTTTGAAACCCTGAGCCCTTGTTGACTCTAAAGAGTTTGTCATTCTTAAAGTTGGACAATTTCTAGAGAGAAAAGAACTCAGCTAAAAGTAAGACTTTCAGATGCAAACCAAAGGGCTCTCACGGGACCACTATTTCTCCCCCCAACTATCTGAAGCCTAGGTACCAGGGAACTAGGGACAGCCTCTAAAGTCCCAGAGTCCCCTGAAGTTCTCCAAACTAGCCAATCCTAAACCTGCTTGCCCTGCTTTGCTCATTATTCTTGAGAAAAACACAACAAAAGCTCTTGTCCACATTTCCCCTTTCACCCCCACTGCCTGCTGCCTGCCCTGTTGCTTCCCTGTGTGGTGCAGCAGGCCTCCTCCTTGTAGAAATTTCAAGAAATAAACCATCTTTTCAGTGACAATTGTCTCCTGATCTGCTGGTCTCACCATAACAAAATAATAATAAAACCTACATTTTAAAACAGTGGGGAGTAGTTCAATGGTAGAGCATTTGCCTAGCATGCAGGAGGCCCTGGGTTCAATCCCCAGAACTATAAAACAAATGAACAACCAGTCACCAAAAGTCCATCTTCACTTGTTTCTATAAAAGGAAAGATGCCAAATCTGCATTTGAAGCTTGTGTCTATGACTTTTTAGATACAGAGGTATAAAGTCAGGGAAGCTGAAAAGAGAAAAATAGAGATTGTTTTGAAATATGAAAAAAATGAACAGAGTTTACCTAAAGAATAAGGAGTTGGGGAGAATTCTAGGCAGAGGAAAAGCAAGTGTAAATAAGAGGTAAAAACAAACTTGGTGCTATTGGGGAAGGTATGAGTTTTGACGTTACTCAATCTAGTATGGTTTTGCATCCTTTTCCTGTGTAGGCAGTAATTTTTTGTTACTTGCTGTGCTTTCTTACATGAAAGTGGCTTAATCAGTGCTTGACCTGTGTTTCATTCATTTTCTTATCACCATTGCCTACCACAATTTTAAAAAATAAAGGATCAACAATTTAATACATGGATGAATGAGTGGGTGGATGAATGAGTTGAAGTCACTGGAGAGTGGAGTGTGTGTGGGTGGAGGTTGGCACAAAACAAAAAGAGGTAGAAGTTGGTTGCATTATGCCATTTTACTCCATAAATACGAACTAAATAATCCACATGATTAGCACATATTGCTGTATTTTTAAATATTGACATTAAGAGGTTATTCTAAAAACAGATCATTCACTTCTGGTAACACTAAGTTTTGCTCTTGGCTAAAATGAACAGCAGATTAGAAATGGTGCATCAACGTTCCTGGAAACAGATTGATTGACAGCTACTAAGAACTGACTGCTGACAGTTGAAGAGGAGAAACAGAAACATCTGCCAGAAAAGCCTTGTCATTTAGTGTTATTCAGGATGATCATTAAAATATTTCAAAGCACTAATATTCATAATGATGACCCTTAGGAAGAAAATGTTCTTCTGCTTACTAGGAAATGTTTTCAGTTAGAAGTAAATAAAATAGCTGCTACTTAAAAAAAAAAAAAAGATATGAGATGACTAAACATTTCCTCAGAATACTGTTTGAAAGAGTGGTACATACTGTCATGACTCCCTCTTTTCCTATGAGTAGTTCCATTTCCCTTTACCCCACTGCTATACTTAATTCTGTTTACCAAGTTAATAGAAACTTCTTTACATTTTACAATTTAAAAAAAATTTTTTTTGGAATGGGGATTGAACCCAAGGTGCTTTACCCTGAGCTATATCTCCAGTCCTTTTAATTTTTTATTTTAAGACAGGGTCTCACTAAGTTACTGTGGCTGGCATTGAACTTGCTGTCCTCCTGCCTCAGCCTCCCAAGTAGCTGGGATTACAGACAAGTGCCATGGCACTGGCTACAAATTCTTGATAGTACTAGTTATAAAGATATCTTTGAGGTGTGGGTGTGGGTCTGGGATGATCATGTCATTCTTCCCCAAACTCTCTTCCCTTTTGGCTTTATTGATCACTCCCGTGTCTCCTTTTGTTATTTTTAGTCTCTCTTATCGACTTCTTTTTGGTTACCTACTCTTTAACAACGCATATGATTCTTGACCCCCTTCCTTTCCCACATTCCATTATATCCTTGGGTAATTTTAACTATGCTCATGGCTTCCACTTCTTATGGAAGTGTCTTAAAACATTATTCAGCTTCAGCCTCTACTGATCTACCTGGGCCAGGTTGAACTCATCAGTCCATCCTGTACCCCTCCAGATTACTCATTTTCTGATTCCTCTCTCAGAGAATGGCACCACCATTCAATCAGCTGCCAAGCTAATGACTTAGGAATCATTTTGATTCCTCCTAATCCAGGGTTTTCATTCAATGAGACACCAGGACCTGCTTTTTTATCTCCTTTGATCTCGATCCCTCTTGTTAGTGCCTTAGTTTCAACCCTCAGAATCTCTTGCTGGATCATTGAAGCAGCCTTCAAAAAGGGTCTCTCTGCTTCTAATATTGCCCGCCTCTAACTAATTATCCAAATAATATCAGGATGCTCTTTTTTAAAATTTCAAATTCGATCACACCATGCACTAACTTAATATCCTTCCCTGATTACTTTGGACCTTCAGGATAAAATTCACACTCATCAGAAAGACCCTTCTCACACTGGCTCCTGCTTTCCATTCTAATAACAATTTGAGCAGGGACTTACAGCAGTCCCTGAATTCGCTCTTGTGCCAGTGCTAATTCACATGGTTCCTTTCTCCTAGAATACCTTTCCGCTCTCTTCTCTTGCCCCATATTATCCTTACCCCCAATCTTTGCCAAACTCATCTGTCCTCTAAGATTCAGTATTTCCATCATCTCCATTGTGGGCTTTAAGGCCAGGATACATTGATGCACTTTCTCTATCTTTAAAGTCTGCGCTACCACTGTGTTTATCACAGAATTGTGATGACACGTTGAATTTTCCCTACACTCCTGGAGAAAGAAGGAACTGAAACAATACAACCCATCGTCCTCAGTGCCTAGAACACATGGAGGGAGTATCATGTTAAATGCAAGAATAGATTAAATATACCTTATTGATTGGAAAGATGCCTATTGCATTGGAGGAGGGCAGTGATTGAGAATTAATAGGAATCTCCCCTTTGACTGTTTAAGGGAAGATGCACAGATATTGAAACAACTAAGTATGGAAAAAGGGGCCTGATCAACTGCAGAAGGTCTGATGGTCCTGGCTCACTAGGTAAATTAGTGTTCCAGCTAAAGCCCTACTACAAGAATGAATTTCACATCTACAAAAATCCTCTTCTGATAACAGTGAAGAAGCTACGTGAACTTGAAGCCGAGAGTACTAAGAGATGAGTGGCCTGTGCTCCAGCGAGTTCTTCCTGAGAGGAAGGTCTGGCAGGAAGGTTTGGGAAGGGCTCCTGATGTGAAGCAGAATGAGGACGAGTTCAAGAGGTGAAGAATGTGGGTTATGTGTAAAGGGTTAAGTGGACCCTGAACACTTAGGAACTTCTTAGGTTCTACAGTCCTATTGAGTCTACACTTGACTTGGGTAATGATAAGTGGTTGGTAAACAAATATACGTGGATCCGTATTGTATTAGCAGTCCCACCAAAAATCATCACTATATCAAAAAAGTGCAAGAGGAATAGGAAGAGTGGGTCCAGAGAACAAAGATGACAGATACTTGACCAGTTTCCATTCTGTTCTTTGTGCAAGGTCAAAATTCATGGATTTGATGACAAGATCTAGGGATTATCCTTGAAGGCAGAGTTTATTTATCTTGGAAGCCATAGGTGGTCTGAGAACCCTTTGAAAGAGCAGCTGTTTGGATATGCTTATTTTTAAATATAGATTTTTATTTTCCTGGATAGAAAGCACACAGCTTTCATGAGATAGTCAAGAAGGTTCACATTTCTGTCTTCTACACTCTAAGGTTGTTAAGAACTACTAGTCAAAAGGAAAAAACTCTCTAGTTCAGATATGGCCTTTCCCATTCTACTCTGAAGTTCTGTATCCAGGAGCAAGGAAGTGTGGTGTGGCTGCTGCTGCTTCCCTTGGGCCTCAATTTGCCTCACGTTTTGAGGAAACAAAATTGTATTTTCCATGCCTCCCAGAACTGTAATAGACTTTGAGTGAATTCCAGATGTCTTAAGAGATGCCAGATGGCTCATGAAAGGCAGAACAGCTTCAAGAAAGTGTGCCCCATTACTTTGGATCTAAACCACAAGATTGAGCTTTTTGGGGAATAAGAACGCCCAAGCTCTTCCCCCATAGCCAGTGTTCGATGTGACCATCACCAGACCATGAGAGGCTCCTCTTCCTATAGGAAGTGAAATTTTGAAGTGAAATTCTCACAAAAATATCTATTTTTAATATAAGAGGGAAAGGAAGCTAATATTTAGAGCCTGGTATGTCAGGTAGTATGCTAAATACTTTCACATATTTACTTCATTTAATCCTCAGAATAGACACAGAAGGTAGCTATTTGGAACCCATTGTTTCCAGATGAAAAAAAAAAAATGAGACTCAAGGAGATTAAGTAAATGCATTTCAATTGTCAAGCTGTTTATGTTCCGTTCTGAGTATCATTTGAGGGCATTCAGGTTCATCAATGGTATTTTGTGGTTTCAAATCTAAAAAAGAATTTCTGCTTCTTAGTCTGTTTCTAAAGATCCTCTCATGAACACAGTAAAAGTTACTTATGATGGGCAGCCTCACACTCTCCAGCACTATTCTTTCTCCTTCTAGTGAAATATGTTGCATGTATAACACACACACACACACACACACACACACATTGACGTTAACATAAGCTTTGCTTTTGCACAGTTAACTCTACATCTGAAGGCTCCGAGGAAGCTGTTTTTGGTTATAGAATAAGAACTTCCTTCAGCATCTTGTATTCTTGCTTCCTTAGTAAACATCATTTTTAAACCTCAGTATACCTAGATGAAAGGTATATGCTGATTTTCTGACAGAACATTTCCCCAGCTGTCATTTCCACCCTTTTCCAAACCTGTAAAATTCTAATCTTGTCTACTGGATTCAATGGACACTTTCTACCTAGTGGACTTTCAGTTCTGGCTCTCTATTTCCAGAACTCTTCTACTTGGAATCCTGGCTGCACCTCTTGTTACCTGGCCCTTGATTGGAGTTGATTGGAGTTGACCTCTTCACGACTCATTTACTAAATGGGAGGATAATGTTTACCTTTGTGGTATTTTATAAGGAATAAACTTTTTCAGTGTTATATGAGATCATGTGAGTAAAGCATTTTGCAAGGTTCTTGTAAGAATTCAGTAGTGTGGTGATGATGAGGTATTTTTAAAACAATGGCAATGATTATTTTACCTGCATCTAAGGTAGTTTTGGGTACATCTACCAAAGATCCATGAATTAATATGGTTCTGGATCTTCTTTCATGAAACACATCTGCACTGTTAATTAATGCTCCAAAGCAGCATGCTAACCTCTATCAGCAATAAATTACATCAGTCCCTAAAATATGGTGTTCCTAAGGAATGAGACACCACATGCTGATTTTACTGGAAGCTGGGAGAGCATGTGAGAAATGAATTTGGCCTTGAAAATATTGTTTTCCATTGTGAAATATTATTTGGATATTGTCATATTTTCTATTATTAACATAAGACAGCCCAATTATAAGTAATTCCTGGACCAATTCTGCACATTTCATAATTCCTTTTGTATTTTGTTTTTCTCCTCACAAGCATAAAAAACAATTGTGCAATGTCATTCACAGGCAGAATAGAGATCATAACTACTCCTTATTTTTGAAGACTCAGTGTTCTGAAGTTGCCTTTAGCTGAACAAATCTGAAATGTAATTTTGGTTACCTTGGCTGGGGGGAGACAGCCAGAAAATGAACGGTCTTCTTTTCGAAAACTCAAGTTGAGATTCTCTATGTTGAGTTTGCCATTGGTTGTCCTTAGTACCATCCTCAAAATCTCCAACAGGCTCTTGTCCCCTTCTGATGGTGAGCTGGAGTCTTGAGGTGGGGTTCTTAATGGAGGGGTAGAGGAAAGGCTATGAAAAGAAGATGCATTTGAAGTAGCTGCTTGTTTCCATACTGTGTCTCTCAACTCTGTTACCCACCGTGGATCCCCAAGAACCCATGGGCTACATCCTAAATATTTGGTGACCTGGTCATGGGACTGCAAGTGAAAATTTTACAGATTAACTAAAATCTGCCTCAACGGACTAAGCTCTAGAGCTTCTTCCCATGAGTCACCAACCAATCTGACTGCAATATAGACTGAGATTCTTAAATCAACTTCCTCTTCTTTTCCCAAATGGAGAGAAAAACAAATGATTGTAGTGTTTTTCCTAATTGATATTACTTTTCTTAAACTCAGATAATTATTGATGGCAAATCAAATTTCCACACTGTTTATTGCTATTAGCAGAGCAAGGCAAAGCAAATCCTGCCAAATCTCTGTAACAGGGAACCTTCGCAGGAGGAAATCCCAAATCAGGAAAATGTCTGCATTGTCTTTGACTCTGCTTTTTATATCTGGGAAACCCAGAAATGTTTTGGGAGTAATCATTCATTTATAATCTGTCATGCAAATTTATATAATTATTAAGATGGTTTATCCAATTATTTTTGCTTAAAATAATGTGTGAAAGTAATAAAGATAAAACTTTATAGTCATTTGTATTGTGAACCAATTTGAGATATTTACTCACCTAACATTCAGATTTATTTGTTCCTCCAGATTCAGTTGAACGATTGTCTTCTTTGTGAAGCTTTTCCTGATGTACACTGTCTCAACTTAAATGCCACTTTCCTAAAGGGACATTCTATGATCTCCCCCAGACGCCACTCATTTGAATCATGTTCCTTTCAGTGGTGTGCTGGTAAATCCTTAACCAAGCCTTCAAGATAAAGCCCTGATTTGTAGCATTACCAATTTCCATGGTGTAAATACTTCTATTATTGGCTGGTTTCAACATACCAAGGTGACATCTTTGAATGAAGAGTTGGGAAGTGGTGTGTGTGCATAATCAGGCCCCATGCTTTGCCCTAGGGCATCTGTGCTAGATATACCCTTTCATATCTTAACAGGTCTCCCTTCAGATCTCAGCTCTATTCCTTAGTGTTTCAAATCTTACTTCCCTGATTGGCTGCTCCATAAGGTCAAGTCTGATTTGTTCCTTACTATTTCCCAGGGATTTTGAGCAGTATTAGTTTTAGATGTATATAATTTTTTTCTAAAAGTCATAATTTACACTTTTCCTCCTCTATTATTCTTAGAGGAGCTTTGGCCCCAAATAATATGATTATGAACTACTTAATAATATGTAATATTTTCCAAATGTTTGGTCCAGGAAAGGAATGGTGGACATGTGTCTTTGGTTTGGTCAGCAGCTTTCGCATCTCCTTCCCTTGTTCAGGAAGTTCCAAGTTCCCAACACAGTCTGTCTCATTCTAGCAAGAGAATATTGGTATTTGCGTTACTAGCCACTCTCTGCACTAGGGCACATGACCCAGACTCTGCCAGTAGGAATGTCTGTTCAAGATTTGAATCCGTAGTTTCCTTCCTCTTTGTTGGCAACACCAGTTCCTGGAAGTAGGAATTCATGAGGCTTTGACCGTGGCTCAGTACATTGAGTACTTAGTGGGTAGGTGTTGTGTGGAACCCACTTACTGCAGCTGATAGGGTTTCTTGGAAAGTGTGTTGCTGGATGTATTTCCTTTGATCCATTTTAGGCAATGAGGGCTATTGCTGCCCCATCACAGAGCTACTCCATTAGAGCCTCTATCTGGCAAACTATGGAGAGTGCGTTTTCTTGCATAGCGTGTTTATTATCAAACAGCTGGGCTTCATTACATCAGCCCATCAGTCCCATGTTTCTATTGACACATTCTCTGGTCCATATAAAGCAGTGCCTTCTCTGATGTGCTCAAAATGATTTTATGCACTTTTTAAAAACAGAGCAGATATGCACATTTCCCTGCAAGCCTAGTGATGTAAACTCTTCAGATAATTGAAGATGACAATTACATTTAACAAATGTTTATTGAGCACCTCTTATATGCCAGGAACTATGTTAGGATTAAGATAGTTCACAAGGACAGACACCATTCCTACCTTCAAATGAATATTTACAAATGCAATGACTGTTATGAAGGGGAAGCCTAAGGGATGATTAAACAAAGAGATAGAACCTAGTTCAGGGGTCAGAAAAGGTTTCCTTTCTAGAACTAAAAGGCTCCTTTTCTATAAATGAATGGCCATATGTTCTTCTACATAGTGAATAACCTCTTAGGACCATAATTTTACAATCTGTATTACATGAAGGGAGAGCGCTTATTTTAAAAAATCTCTAAGGCTTATGGCTCCCAGTAGGTCAGTTGCTCCCAGAACTATACTTGACTGCAGTACTCAGGCAGCAATATCCATTTTCTGTGGATTATGAGCTTGCTAACTTTGGAATTGACTGGGCCAGAAAAATGGACTTGACAATCAGCTGTTATCCTATAAGTCTTTGTTAAATAAAGAATCATGGTCAAAAGTGGCACCCTGTAGAGAGGAATCAATTCTAATGCTTGGCCCAGGGACATTTTTCCAAAAAAAAGTCACATTGTTTGTAACTGACAGAAGGTTGTCTGGAGGGAAGTTTAAAAGTAATAAAAAACACCTATATTGCACTGACTGTGTATTAGGCACTGTTTTTAAGAACTTTGCATTTATTAACTCAGGTACTGTTACAAATCAACAAAGTCTATTCTTATTCTCCTATTACAGAATGGAAGCACAGAGAGGTTAAGTGAATGCCAAGGCCAAACAGTTACTAATGGCAGAGACAGAAGTTCAACTCAGCTTTCTGGCCGTGGAGCTCATGTTCCTACCGACTGCACTTTGTCACTTTTCTTTGTGCAGAATATCATACTTTGGTGTTCTGCATTTATAATGATATTTCTCACAACCTTTTTGAAAATTTCAGTCACTTCTTTTCCTTAAGATTATGTGAAGGTATTACTGATTTCTAAATTTCAACCATTAGCTAGTGCCTGTAACCCAGAGGTTCACAGACAGAACCTATTTCTGGAATCATATATTATATATAGATGAGCTCTGCACCCATACACAATCATTTCTTATTTCATAATGAGGTTTTTCATTTTCACACAACAACCTCATAAAAAGACACATGCTTGGTGTTAAGAAACATATGCAATTGCTACAAATAACTTTCTATGCTGGCCTGCATACAAGAGAAGGAGAAAAAAAATTATATGCATAAGCCAAGTGTTAGTGAAGAGCAAAGTGATTTTGCATTGGGAATATTTTAGAGTGAATGCCTCCAAGATCCCTGCCAGCTCTAGAAGTCTAGTGCAATGGACTGGATGTTTCTCCCAACAAAGTTCAAATGTTGAAACCCTCAACATGATGGTACCAGGAGGTGGGGCTTTGGGAGGTGATCTGGTCCTGAGGGTTGAGCCCTCAGGAATGAGATCAATGCCCTTATAAGAAGGGGCTAGAGAGGGCTCACATTCTTCCTGCCAGTAAGGATGCAGGAAAGAGTTAGCTGTCTGCAACCTGGACATGGACTCTCACCAGAAATGGACCACTAATCATTGGAAGGTACACTAATCTTAAACGTTCAGACTCCAGAACGATGAGAAATAATGTCAGCACTTTATAAGCCAGCCAGTCTGTGGTACTCCACGACTGCAGCCTGAATTGACTGAGATACATCAGAACAATGGGCCCAGGAAAAGGGAGGAAATACCTTCGCTTAGGATCACTTTGACTCTGAGTTTTCTTCAGGTTGCTGTCCACAACTGTTTTGCATTGCTGTAAGTCATCTGAGGCTGCACTTTTTAAAAACCAGAGTAGCTTTTCATAATTCACCTGAAAATTAAGTATAAGAACAGCCTCATTTACTCTATATGAAGGGAAAAAAGCCCCTGCTGAAATAAAATGTATTTGGAAACTTTTTATATTTAAAGTTTTAAAAAATTGTTTAAAAATAGAAATATAAGAGTTAGTCTCTTTTAAAATCAAATATTATTATCCCTCTGTATAAAATGTAAAATTCTACTTCCTGGTTGCCTTGTGTTTGGGTAGGGCCGTGTGACTAGTTCTGGCTAATGTCTTATGAGCAGAGGTGACAAGTGCCACTTCGGGTGGAGGATTAAACTGTTGCCATGAGGTCTGCTGGAGCACACTTTTTCTCTCTCCTCTTCTATCCTCTCCAAAAATATTCCAGAGTGGCTGTTCCATCAGCCTGGGTCCTGTAGCCTAAGATAGTGAGGAGAAGGGCCTATGGTTGACTTGTTATGGAAATGTAATGCAGATTAAAAAATGAACATTTGACTCTAGCCTCTCTCTGTCTCCCTCTCACATCTCTAACATATTTAGCATATAGAATGCATGCTTATGTTTAGATGTATTCAGCTTTTATAAGGATAAGAATCTATTAGCCTAGGTGAAAAAAATCTCGAGATTACTTTTCCACATAGGTAAGGACTGAGGGAATGTCACCAATGTCCACTGCTGGTCTGGATGGGATCCTAGGAGCTCTGGTCTGTAGGTGACTCTAGGGAATTGGAGGGTAGCAGTGAAGGAAGGAAGCTAGATATAAACTAGGTGTTAGCCAGAGAGTTTCATATATACTCTGTATAATAATTTGACATTGTATTGCTAAATACATCTTATAAATATTTGGAGATTTCACTAGGGAAGTTTAGAGAAGAGAAAACTAACATTTGAGGACCCCCTAAATGCTGGACATGGGACCACAAATTTGCATTTATCCTGTCACTAAATCTTGAGTCAACATCTATGAGGTTGGTTTTGACCTGGCTTTCCAGATGATATCACTGAGACATCAGGGACATTAAGTAGAATGAACCCCATGGGACAGAGACAAAGATGGAACTAGGATTAAAGTCCAGGTTTCTGAGATTTGTTCTTCAGAAACAAGGCTTGCTATTCATACACACTCACTAATGATTTGTTCATTGCTATTAGTTCTTCTTGTGGATATTTTCCTGTGGTTCTGGGAATTTGGTTATATTTAGACCACCCTATATTCTGCTACAAGTGTGAGTTCAGGCTCAGTGCCCAGAGATGTGTAGTATCCAAAGAACTTTGGCCTTGTTGGAGAGCTTTTGTTTCAGCTCTGCCATTAATTCTTGAGTATCCTGAGCCAAGTCCTTGGCAACCTCTGGGCATCAGTTTTCTAATCTGTAAAATGGTGATTGTGGAGAGTAGTGACTTGGATTATGGTCTCTGACTGCCTTGTGGCTGCATCTGCACTGGGAACTTCCTGTGCAAAGGTGCAGATCAAGATTGCCCGGTTGCTATGATGATACCCTACTTGAGGAGGCTCTGTGCAAAGGCAAGGCACTATATCAGTCTGGACCTTGAGCTCAGGCATTAGCTGCTGAGGGTAGAGAATTCTGGGCATAGTAAGTTAACTACAAAGTCTCACAAGTGACCTTCAAGACTGTCTGCTTTGCAGAAACTCCACAAATAACCTCTTGATGAGAAAACCTATATAATAAACATGCTATATAGTAGCTCTGGGTCATTGTTTCTCCATTGCAGGACAATGTGGGGGTACCTGGGATTGAACTCAGGGGCACTTGACCACTGAGCCACATCCCCAGCCCTATTTTTTTGTATTTTATTTAGAGACAGGATCTCTCTGAGTTGCTTAGCAACTCACTTTTGCTAAATCTGGCTTTGAACTCACAATCTTCCTGTCTCAGCCTCCTAGGCCACTGGGTTTACAGTTGTTTGTATTTCTAAA